GCTCTTCACAGTAGATCTCTATACAGAAAATTATTGCTTCCTAATACTTTACAGTTTGGGATAAGGCATAAAAGATTAAAATGTAGTCAAGTGCATGAATGAGGCACTTAAACAGCAAGACGACAGCAAAAAAAAAACCCCTAAACAAAAGCATACACTCACATAAAACCTCTCTCCATTTTTGATCGCCATTACAAATGCACACACAAACTCCCATTGGTTCCAAATCCAGGTTGAAAACTGCCACCCAGTTGTTTTCATCTTTTCCCTCTCACATAGGACATACTACACTGACAGCCAGAGAAAGATACCTTCACTGTACTTTGCAATATCAGAACCACACCAGAACACTGGGTGGTTCTTTGGACCTGGGACCGAATTCTGCTGCCGTCTCTCCCAGGATACACCTACAAGTCCTTCAGCATTACCCCTCATTCAGCAATTTGACTCTTCTCTCTGCAACCGTTTGTTTGTCCTTTTGAGCATATATATACTGATCCAATTCTTCAGTAATAGTCCAGGCAATTATTAAGTAAAAATAAATCTACCCATATACTTAAAAATGTACGACAGATCTGATTAATACTTTTGCAAAACTAAATTCAGTTTTCCCTTACTTTTTCCTGAATGGAAAACATACAGCAGCAGAGAATTATTTGAAGTAAAGCATTTATCCTACAAAGCCCAAAACCTTAAGGAGCAAACATATATAAACTCAACATCAGAAGAAGCTTCCAAGTATAAATCCAGTTACATCCAGTGTCTAAAAACAAAGTATTCTGTTTTATTGTACAAATTCCTGCATTTCTAGGAAAATTATTTTTGTATGTGTCCTGGCCATCCCAGTCAATTCTCCACTATTAAAACAAATTTCCAAAGTCCTCCCAGCAATGCAGCCACACAATTCCTAAGCACAGTTACGCCAGTGGAACATCCCACACTGCTATTTCTCTCATTTTCCTGTCTTGGAGAAGAACCCCCGAAAAATTTTTTTAAAAAAAAAAAAAAAAAAGACGACGATGACATGCAGCCAAGTAACATAGTCTACTCAAGGCCAAGTAGCCAACACTACACATCCTTTTAAGAGACACTTTCACAGTTCTCAGCAACTGAAGTAAACATTAGATAAATTCAGTATTAAAAAAATAGATTAGATAGATCAGGTTATTCTAACAATTTTACTACTTCCCAGATTGAGATCATTTTTCCAGACCAGAAACAGAAAATGCCATTTCACAATAATTAAAACTTTTCATAGGAAAATACAAGCTTAAGAAAAAATTTGTTTCTCAAGTCAAGGAGAAGAAACAATGTCTTTCCAATGGTGCAATGCAAGTTCACAGTAGAACAAACGACTCTTGCTATGAAGTAAATCAGAGACCTTTCATGCTCCAACTACTCTGTGAAGAGAAGGAGAAAACACTTACTCTGCAGTCTTTAACAACTATGTATTAGGTCAAAGTAGTTAACGAAAAAGAAAAGAAAGGGCAGGGTAAGATCATAATATATCACAATGTATGGATCTGCAACCGAAGAGGAAAAAGATAATGCAGTAGCTGACAAGATTCTTTCTCAAAAACTTACTGGTTATTACTGGTTTGCTCAGGCCTTCCCCGCCCCCCCCCCTTTTTTTTTTGGTCCACTGAAATGAACAGGCCTTACTATGACTTTAGATCACCCCCTTGTCCTCTCCATCTATCTGAAATAGTAATGGTTACGAAAATACTTGGAAAACTTTATCTTAGGAAGAGAAGCACAGTCCTAAATGACTCTTAAGGAACAAATAATTACAATGATAATTTCAGTCAGGTATGAAAAGCACCATTAAAACAAAATTCATCAATGACGGGTGATGAGAGGAAGCTGGTGCTCCAATTCAATGCTCAGTAGCTGGGCTTAATAGAAAACTGTTTATCAGTAACCCCCAGGAAGTCAGCTGATGAAATTTCCACTTACGGCAGAAGTTTACCTGGGGAAGCGAAACACGTAAAACACACAAAACTCCAGGCGGTAACCAGAAGGGAGGAACCCGATACAAATTTATGTCACTGGTGTTTTAGGATTCAGCCGTCTTACAGCAGTACCTTTCATCTCCTGGACATTAAAAGCAGTGGGAAACTTCGGTGACTGCAAAAACAAACTGTGCAGCCATGTGGCTCTCCACAACAGCTTAGCTGGTATTTATACAAGCTATACCCTCAGGAACACTAACCACCCCCTACAGCCTATGGCAAGGAGGAAACGGCAGCTGAGATTAAGACGCACAGATACAACTCAACAGAAAGCAGCAGGAAGGTTTCTTAATTCTTTCCACACACTTTGCCTCCTTCCCTCAGAGCACCATTTCCACAGGCACAGCTGTGAGGACCACCAGAGCTGGGGGTCACTCCTTTCCACCTGCTCCACCCCACCCACACCAAACCAACTGTGGCTAAAGTCTTGTGGACATCCCACTCCAGACTCCTGATCTGCCACCAAAGGCAAACCTCCCCCTCCCCCAAGTAAATTCTTTCTCTGACCTTCATATAATTGTTGGGATACTTGCAAGACACACTCCCAGTTCCAACAGGAGAACCTCTAAAATAATTCTCATCAAGAAATGAGGAACCGGCACACAGAGCTCAGGCATTACCCCCCGAGGAAAATAAGAGAAATGCAGTAAGAAATCCTCTCCTAACAACCTTTCAGACAAAGCAGAGCCACAGAGCGTGGTATAAACGATGCGGTACTTCAACACCACATTCAGGAGGCTGGGGACAGAACCATTCTAGACAGATTTTGTAAGCCATGCCACCAACACGCCAGGCCATGCTACAGCAACCTGTCAATCATCTTTCTGGAGGGGTGCCACCTTTGTTCATTAATTGTCAGATTTTATTTAAAACCAGAATGTAAAATCTCCACAAATTTCAGCTGTAACGAAACATTAGAAAGACAAGTAAGGTGCAACTGCTGCAGACATAACCACTTAGATTGACGCAGAACCTGAATAAGAACTTCAAAGCTTCTGCCTATGTCCCAAAGGAGACTGAAGCTGAGGTTTAACGACAAAGAACAAAACACCCAGTAACCTCTGTCCAAAAGGAATAAGACGAGCTTTTAAGCACAGGCATTGTCAGTCTGCAAGAGAATCACGCTGCTCGGTCCCAGCTGCCAAGCTTTAGTACAGGATGATTTTCCTCCTCTGGCAGTCTGTGCAAATTCAGGCAGTACATACTCGAACCAGACAGGAGACAGCACCTCCAGCACCCAACATTTTACTCTAAGGACCAGAAACACAGATTTTTCTGCCTTTATGCATTACACACACACATAGACATAGATATGAATGTGCATGTACAAACAAAGAAATAAAAGTCTAAACTCAGTGTGAGTTAAGTGACTATAAGAGTTGATGTTCAAGACAAAAATCCAATTTCACACCCATCTGTCAAGCTGAATCTGCCCCGGCCTTTTCCAAGGCTTGATGTTAGCAATGACAGCAGAAGCAATATCAAATTCTTAGCGTCTTCATTATCTCCAGTGAACGGCATTTCCACCTGGCAGCCATCGAGA